CATAAGAGCAGCAGCCTCTTAAGTCCCTTTCTTGGCTACACTCAGGCCAATAAAGGAAAAAAATAATGTGTAAGCCATATATGTAATTATAAATTTTCAAGCAGCCACATTAAAAAAAAACAGGTAGAATTTATTTGAATATATTAATTTAACCCAATATATCCAAAATATAATTTCAAAGAAATTTTTTTTAATATATTTTTTTTAAGTAAGAGTGGTTTTGTTTATTTATTTATTTATTTATTTTTGGCTGCGTTGGGTATTCGTTGCTGCGCGTGGGCTTTCTCTAGTTGTGGCGAGCGAGGGCTACTCTTCGTTGCAGTGTACAGCCTTCTCGTTGCGGTGGCTTCTCTTGTTGAAGAGCACGGGCTCTAGGCACACAGGCTTCAGTACTTGTGGCACATGGGCTCAGCAGTTGTGGCACATGGGCCTAGTTGCTCCGTGGCATGTGGGATCTTCCTGGATCAGGGATGCAGCCCATGTCCCCTGCATTGACAGGTGGATTCTTAACCATTGTGCCACGAGGGAAGTCCCAAAATTATTTTTTTAATATTTTAGTTTATTTAAACAATATCATTTATGTGTATTGTGCTGGCACAAATATGCAGAAATATTTTTAAATTGTTGAGACAGTTTCATTCTTTTTTCATATGAAATCTTTAAAATTCATGTATATTTTATGGTTCCAACACATCTCAACTTGGATGCTAAATTTTTATCAGAAATATTTGATCCAGGTAGGCAGCCACGTATATTTGTTTGTTGTGAATAGTATTCCCAGTGGAACAAGTAACCTTTTTAGTTCAAGGTAATAATTCTCTCTTGTATAAGAAATTATTACCTTTGTTTGTAGCATACCAATAAAAAGGGAAGTTAGGACACATGATCTGAAGGGAAAGACATAGGACAAAGATAGAAACCAAAACAGCAATGCAGGAGTGGGAAGTTAAGCCCTCTGCTATAGAGAGCCACCTAGGGGCCATAAACAGAAATAGCAAGTTATTTTTGTTACATTCAAATAGATTGTTCAATCACCTGATTTTTAAATTTAGGATTCTAAATACAAAATCTTAATAAATTCAGTTATGACTTCCTATAATTAATAAATGAATAAGGGAAGAAAATAAGAAAAAGAGCAAGAAAAAAAGAAGTGCAGATGTATATGGAAATAGGGGGGTAGTGAAATGCCACAAAAGGATTTCATGTCAGATAGAAATAAAAAGGAGGAAAAGACAAAGTATAAAAGAGAAATGGAGAAGAAACTCATAGTGAAAGAGAAGGGAAAAAATGATAGGTTCTCCAGGTACAGCAAAAAGTTTACTTGGATTAAAAGACCTGGTCTCAGTTGAATCATTAACTGCTAACTGGGTCTAATGTCACTGGGTAATTACTTCACTCTGGGCTTCACAGATTCACTTTACCTGTAAAATATCTTCAGGACCATCTCTAGCTAAAATATTGTCTAAGTTACTTGCCTGCCCCAGGAATCTATCCTATAGAAATAATAGCTTGAAGAGGGTGGGAGGGGGGAAAAAAAAGAAAGAATGGCTGGAGAAAGTAAAGATGTATGTACAAGAATGTAAACTGGAACACTGTAATAGCAAAAAAAAAGAACATGTAAAACTAAAATTAAACAACCTAATCAGAAGAGCAGAAGGGACTGATTGAAAACCCTATAGGCATGTAATGGGATACCAGGCAGCTGTGAAAAATAAGGAAGTATCAATATGTTCTAGCCAGGAAAGCTGTCCATTTGCCATGTGAAAAAGCAACATGTATAAAATCATTAATCTTCTCCATGAACATATCAGTGTTTTTTAACATTCTGAACATGTATATGCATGTATATGTGTATGAATGCTTAGTTAGATATGTCTGTATAAACTTGGAAAAAAGAAAGGACATATAGATACACTGGTTACCTCTGAAGAACAAGATTAAACAGGCAAATAAGGACTTTTAATATATATGCTTTTTAAAATTATGGGACTATGGATGAATTTTACTACTTTATAGGTTTCAATAATTTTCAAATAAAAGTTATCAAGGTACCTACCATTAACTACGGAAGAAAAACATCTATTTGTCATGTGTCATAAATGTTAGGCACTTCTGTTAGGCAACACCTAATCATCTTACTTTGCATCTTCTCCAGTTGCCACCCTCCAATCCAGTTTTTCAAACTGTTCCCTGAACATACTATATTCACTCCAACATTCATGACTTGGCTTATGATGTTTTCTCCAACACCCAGAAAGATCTTGTCTTCCCTGACCTTCAATTATCCTTACTTTATTTTTATCTTTATTTATTATATAGCCTGCAAGCCACAACTACTGAAGCCCATGCACCCTAGAGCCTGTGCACAGCAACTACTAAGCCCACGTGCAGCAACTACTGAAGCCCGCATGCTCTAGGGCCTGCGTGCCGCAACTACTGAGCCCACATGCTGCAACTACTGAAGCCTGCTTGCCTAGAGCCCGTGCTCCACAACAAAAGAAGCCACCACAATGAGAAGCCTGCACACCGCAATAAAGAGTAGCCCCCACTCGCTGCAAATAGAGAGAAAGCCCCAGCACAGTGCAGCCAAAAAAAAGAGAGAGAGAAATAGATGGCAATACCATAATAGTAGGGGATTTTAATACTCCACTTTCATCAATAGATAGATCATTCAGACAGAAAATCAATAAGGAAACATCAGCCTTAAACAAGATACCAGACTAGATGGACTTAACAGACACTTGAAGAACATTCCATCCAAAAGCAACAGAATACACATTCTTCTCAAGTACACGTGGAATGTTCTCTGGGACAGATCATGTGTTAGGCCACAAACAAGTCAATAAATTTAAGATTGAAATCATAGAAAGTGTCCTTTCCAACCACTGTGGTTTAAAATTAGAAAACAGTTACAAGAAGAAAACTAAAAAATTCAAGTAAGTGGAGATTAAACAACATGCTACTGAACAACCAATATGTCAAAGAAGAAATCAAAAGAAAAATCATAAAATATCTTGAGACAAACGAAAATGGAAATACAGCATACCAAAACTTACAGGATACCACAAAAGCAGTTCTAAGATGGAAATTCATAACAATAAACGCCTACATTAAGAACAAGAAAGATCTCAAATAAACAACCTAACTTTACACCTCAAGGAACTAGAAGAAGAAGAAGAATCTAAGCCTAAAATTAGTAGAAGGAAGAAAATAACAAAGATTAGAGAGGAAAAAAAATGAAATAGAGATGAAAAGACTATAGAAAAGATCAATGAAACTAAGAGCTGATTTTCTGAAAAGATGAACAAAATGCCTACACCGTGTTTTCTCTCTCACCACTTCATTAATTCCAATTACACATTTATTATATCTTATCACACTATCCTCCATATAACATAACTTCCTGCCAATTTTCAATCTTTTCCCTCTCTATAGTGTATTCTAAATAATCACTTCTAGTCCAGTTTCACTAATTCTCTTTTAGTCACATATAATCAGCTATCAAACCTACCTTTTGAATTTTTAATTTTAATTATTTCATTTTTATTTTCTATAAATCCTATTTGGGTTTTTTTTCAATGCCTGTAATGTCCCTTTTTGCAGTTTCTTATACCCCTGAGGCATTTCCAAGCTTGCCTTTTATTTTTTAAAACATAGCAAGCATGCCTAAAACTAGATCCAATAAATCTCGTTTCTGAGGTCTGCAGAGATAACTTTTTACTGTTCCTTCTTTATCCTGGTCCTCAAATATGGTGCCTTGTTTCTTTAATGCTTGATTATCTTTAATTGCATGTCCTTGAAAGGTTACTTGAAGAGTTCTCAAAGGCTTCTAGAAGGAAGATGCTTTCCTCCAAAAGAAAATTTGCAGTTGCTTCTGTTAAGTGCCATGGTTAACTGGAACCAACTTATGACTCAATTCATGGTCTGACGTTTCTTTGACCACCCAGGTAAACGAGAATTTTGGCAGCAATCCCTGTGGTTTATTAATTCTCAGTGAAAGGTTTTCTGGTTATTTTTTTCTTCTCCTTTTTTTCTCCCTTGCTCTGCTCAGTGCCAAAGCAACTCTCCCTGTAATCTACTGAAAGTGGGGAAAAGAGGACGTAGGGGAGGGGGGGTAGTTTTACTTTTGTGTTCACCCTTACCGAAAAGGTTTACCCCTAACCAGTTTAATGTGGAGAGTCGGTATTTAACTTCTGATCTTGGGGGGACCTGAGCTGTGACTACTTTCCTCTTCATCTAGAGGGCCATCAAAATTGAAGTTCACAGCATCCTGATCAGCGAAGGCCTTCAAGGCAAAAGCAGCTTCAAATGCTGATCTTAATTTTCCGGCATTCACCAGCAATTCCTCTCTCGTTAGCTCTTCAGTGTCTTTAGGATATCTTGTTTCTATTCCATTCAAATATTTTAGTTGTCATTAGTAGGAGAAATGATTCAAAAACCTGGCTTGCCATTACCAGAAACAGAAGTCCCAAACCTTATTAACGCTCTTCAGTTTGTTGAAGGGAAATAATTTTTGAATGAATGAATGAATGACTTTCAAATTAAACAGACATGTCACCCTCAGATTCAATCATCTAACCTGTCTGAACATCAGTTTCACAAAATAAAGGGGTTGAACAAAATTATCTCTATGATTCTTTTTTTTTTTTTTTTTTTTTTTTGCGGTACGTGGGCCTCTCACTGTTGTGGCCTCTCCCGTTGCGGAGCACAGGCTCCGGACGCGCAGGCTCAGCGGCCATGGCTCACGGGCCCAGCCACTCCACAGCATGTGGGATCTTCCCGGACCGGGGCACGAACCCGTGTCCCCTGCATCGGCAGGCGGACTCTCAACCACTGCACCACCAGGGAAGCCCTCTATGATTCTTTATTGTCTATAATAGCAGGATCTATTGCATATACATGCAATGTCAGCTTTTGCAAGCTCCATTTATGGTAGACAGATGGGCAAAGTTTTCTCATAGTGTTACAACAATTCCAAAATAAGAATAAATGAGACTCACTGTTAATCCAAGGGATCCCTTTTCCATCTTCTCAAACCCAAGAGCCAAGACACAATCTGCCAGACCTTGAAAGAAAATGTAATTAGTTTGAAAAATTAAATTTCCAGACACCAACAAAATATCATTAAATACTTCAAATTTAAATAAGCATGTCAATTTATACAAAATGTAAAAACATGGTATAATCCTATAAAATTTCTAATAAGTGAAAAATTACAGAGAAAATTCTTATATGCTTCTAAATAAGAGGAAAAATTAATAAATTATATAATTCTTTCTCTGATTCTCAGTGTTAATAAGACTTTTGATTAATGTGGAAATATGTCCCAGTGAAGAACAAATATAAATAGCTAATTTTCAATTTTTAAACATTAAGTAAAATTTTTAAAAATTTTTAAGTATCTTGATCAAGATCTCAACAGAATTATTTTTGGAGGGAGGGGGCACCTAAAAATGATGTTAAAGTTCAACTAAACAGTAAAACACGCAGAATTGCCAAAATTTTTCCTAAAAAAAAGGGAAAAAAAAAAAATAACGTAGGGGGCACAGGGGATACTAGTATTATCCAATAGTGAGACATTATAAAGCTCCAACAATTAAAACACCAAAGAGTAGAGCAATAAGCAACAATCAATCAGAAGAAAGAACAAAGGGCCTAATAAAAGAGCCTAGAATATTTGGAAATATAGACTATGACATATATCCGAGAAAACTGAAAATATATGGCCACAAAAAAAATTGTACACAAGTGCTTACAGCAACATTATTCATAATAGCCAAAAAGCAGAAACAACTCAATGTCCATCAACATGTAAATGGATAAAAAAAATGTGGTGTATCCATACAATGTATTATTAATTGGCCACAAAAAAGAATGAACTACTGATACATGCTACAACATGGATGAACTGTGAAAATATTATGCTAAGTCAAAGAAGCCACAAAAGGCCATATATCATATGATTCCATTTATATAATGTTCAGAATAGGTAAATCCATAGAGACAGAAAGTAGATTAGTGGTTGCCAGGGGCTGTTGGGAGAGGGAAATGGGAAGTGACTGCTAATGGGTACCACTTTCTTTTTGGGGTGATAAAAATGTTCTAAGATTAGATAGTGGTGATAGTTGCATAAACCTGTGAATATACTAAAAAACACTGAATTGTAAACTTTAAAAGCGTGAATTTTATGTTATATAAAGTACCTCTCAATATAATTGTCTTTTTGTTTGTTTGTTTTTGTTTTTGTTTTTGTTTTTTGCGGTACGCGGGCCTCTCACTGTTGTGGCCTCTCCTGTTGCAGAGCACAGCCTCTGGCCGCGCAGGCTTAGTGGCCATGGCTCACGGGCCTAGCTGCTCTGTGGCATGTGGGATCTTCCCAGACCAGGGCACGAACCCATGTGCCCTGCATCGGCAGGAGGACTCTCAACCACTGCGCCACCAGGGAAGCCCTAATTGTTATTTTTTTAAAAAGAAATACATTATAAAGCAATCCCTCTGATGGTCGTATGGAGAAATAATAAAAGGGGGGGGCAATAACCCCACATCTATTTAAGTTTACTAGACAAATAGGCACTTCTCACCACCCTGAATCAGTTGCCGGGCCATAAACAAAGCAGTTGAACCAGTAGAACAGTTATTGTTGACGTTGATTATAGGAATTCCAGTCAGTCCCAAACTGTGATAGATAGCCCTCTGCCCACAGGTAGAGTCACCTATATATATAAAAAAAAAAAAAAAAAAAAAAAAATTTATATATGCAACATGAGAATTATGGAGATGCAACGCAACATAATACTACATTATGGTTTTTCCAGTGTTATGTCTTTGTCTAACATACAACATGGGCAGAACGATAAATATACTATTGACATCTTACTCAGAAACAGTTTTAGCATGAAGCATCATTTACTCTGCAAATATAAAAATTCTCAAAACACAGAATATATATGCACTTTCTTTACACAATACAGAGGTAGGAAAGTAGAAACATGACCAAGTAATAGCAAACAATTCAATCTGGCTAGGGCTACATGACAGGCAGCAATATTTCATGTATAGTGTCAGATATAAATCTCTTAAAACTAAACTGATTGGGCTTCCCTGGTGGTGCAGTGGTTGAGAGTCCACCTGCCGATGCAGGGGACACGGGTTCATGTCCCGGTCTGGGAGGATACCACATGCCGCGGAACGGCTGGGCCCGTGAGCCATGGCCGCTGGGCCTGTGCGTCCGGAGCCTGTGCTCTGCAGCAGGAGAGGCCGCAATGGTGAGAGGCCCATGTACCAC